ACTTGGATTTCATTAACTAGCTGCGTAACAAGAACATGACCAATTAAACTATCAATTTAAACAAAAATTTACCGTCAACTACAGACGTTGCATCCATCGATTCCGCCATGTTTCTCATTGACACGCCCCCAACTCGGAAAGTCGGAAAATTTCGAGTTTCCCACTCCTAATAACGACTTTGTGGTGGCGTTCATGTGCGTTCAACTCGTAAATACGATCTATCCGACATGACTTGAACGCACCTTTAGAACATTACTGACTTTCTACTGGTTTGGGCCGCATTGCGCCCCCTGTCTGCAGTAAACGTTTAATTTTTCCCCCTTTTTACTTCACTACTCGCGAAGCTGCAAGGAAAGAAACGAGGAGCCAGAAGGAGCAACGAAATAAGCCTGGAATTTATCTCGCACGTTAAAAAAAGAAGAAAGAAGAGTCCTCCTTCTGCCATTCCATGCTCCTCTAGCGTGTTCCCTCACAGAGTGCTGGAGATATAACGTTAATGGAAACTGAATGATGAGGTAAGAGTGTTTGTGTGTCTCGGGCCGATTGTCCTTTTTTTGACAGTGACTGCGGCCGCTGCATTTCAAGGCGCGCTTCGTGCGAATTTACGTTACGAGTAACGTTATGCTGTTTAACACAAGGCAACGGCCACTTCAACGGTCTTTTCGCCTCGGTAACTGTAATAATACCCTCCTCTAGTCGTTTATTCGTGGAAGCAGGCCACGCAAGAGATTGCAGCTAAAGCTCAGCTCTGATTTACTGGTGTAACGTTAGTTAGCACACGGCTAACGGTTGCTGCTGTGTTATCACTGACAGCAGGTTAAAAACTGAATTTCTGAGGTAAAACTCATCGATATAGTGGACTCTCTGGACCTTGAGAGTGCTGAGGTAATGTGTGTTGTATGTAGGGTGTAGTAACAGTGAGTTAGCCAACTGTGTGATGGAGTGCAGATGAAGATACCCTGATGGGGGCATTTTTCAACCAGCTTCTTCAGCTCATCTCCACACATGGCTGCAGGTCTCATCTCTACATATCGTTGTTTTTTGCTGTGACTCTCCCATTTCTTCTCCAGTGCATTCAATACACGTGTGTGCATGCTGGCCTGGAGAAACAGAGGTTATTATCCTGTGATTTATGTCTGAAGGAAGTTGATTAAAAGGCTCAGATCATGTAGTGCACTCTGGCCTTTTGTCTTAAAGCCACTGTCATATATGTAAACACTGTCAGATTGGAGGGTGGTTTACAAGATCTTATGAGCAATGCAGCTGGAGCCATTTGGTCTGGGTCAGTCTGGTTGTAAACCAGGTTCGGTCCTGGTTTATTGAGGCACTCCTTGATCACAAGACTAAAGTGGAAAACCTGCTTTGGCAGCCGTCCTGAGAAATGCTTTAAAATTGTGATCTCACAATAACTGATATAAGATCAGATCTTTAGTGGCTAGGATGTACCAACATATTCAAAGATGTAGGCATCCGAATGTAAAAGTTGAACTCAAATTGATCTAAATATCAATCATTAACCTGATTATTGATGATGTGTTTCTGTAATTTACTGGTTAAATGCATAATAATATTAAAACATTAATCATAAGTTGGTCATATTGATTTTAAAAGTATAAACACATTAATTAAGCAGATACTCTGGTTTCTAGAAACCTAGAAATCATTTTTTGGACCTTCAGAATACCCACTATAAATGAATGTCAATTTATATTTGCCTATAGTAAAACCACAGTAAATCTGAGTAATATCAGATAGTGAGTGATATTTTGTTTTACTATTATTTTAAACAAATATTTACTGTTGTTTTACATAACTTGCAGATGAGTGAGAATTAATGGGTTGATGAGATTGCTGTTCAAAATGACTGGAATTCAGCATAAAATGTAAAGAGCATCTTCATTATTTCCATTATTTCCAACCCTACAAAGTATGAATGGATGATCATGCTTTGACATACCGATTTTCTTCTAGTCACACTTAATCATGTGATATGAATTTTTTCACTAGACTTGACCTTTGAAACACGACGAAAGCTTGTTTCCAGTCTTCCACATTCGCATGTGTATAAATGGAAAAGTGCAGTTTGGTTGCCCCTTTAGTTTGTTCTTATTACATTTATGCAGGAATATTCCAATGGCTGTTGAGCATGTAAATGTCTTTTTCGAATGAAAATTTAATCAGAAAATGGCCTTTAATCTGAAAGTAAGGTTCAGCCTTGTTTAGATGAGGATAATGGAGCATTTGAAAGCCTCTGTTTTAAGTGCAGGCTCAAGAGGAGCTTATTGTTAGGCCGTTCAGTTCATGAGTCATTAGAGGCTGTTTTTTGCAACCTCAAGTTTATCTGGCCACTATCTCTTTCATCCATAGATTCACCGTTCTCTATTCCCCATCCCCCACAGGTGTACAGCAGAGGTTTAGTCTGGGGTGCGAGATAAAAGAGATCTGCAATCCACTGTGCACCGCTCAGTCTCAGCAGGATGGATGATAGGCCAGCTATGTGTGTGTGTGGGTCTGCTCTTTTTTTGTTCACCGCTGATATGCGCGCTGCCCTTTTGCCTCACTTTGAAATTTGTTTCTCTTTGTACGATCGTTGGCTCAGAAGCAGCTTTTTGTCTAGATAATTAGGTTAACAGGAAGAGCGAGGGACCCTCAATCTTTCACCCCAGTGGTCTGCTCCAGTAGGCCTGAATAATTTTCAGTCATTCCTGCCTGCTTTTTGCTAAACAAATTATGAATGGTGGTCTTTAAGTGTATTTGCTTTGCTGCTGGAGTTAAACTTTGAGTTTATATCTTGTGTTTAGGCCTACGTTCATGATTTTTGAAATGCACAATTAAAGATTAAATAATGTGTATTACAGAAAATTGGAATCTCAGCTATAGGCCTATATGATTACTGTCCGATGATTAAAGGGATAGTTCACCCAAAAATGAAAATTCTGTCAATAATTGCTCACCCTCATGTCGTTTCAAATCCATAAGACCTTCGTTCATCTTCGGAACACAAATTAAGATATTTTTGATGTAATCCGAGAGCCTTCTGACCTTTCATAGACAGCAACGCAAATACCACGTTCAAGAAACGTAGTAAGGACATCGTTAAAATAGTCCATATGACATCAGTGGTTCAACTGTGGTTTTATGAAGCTATGAGAACACTTTTTGTGCACAAAGAAAACAAAAATAATGACTTTATTCAACAATTTCTTCTCTTCCGTGTTAGAATTCGACACACATTCACGAAAGTAACGCAACGATCAAACTTTGGATCAAACTTTCCAAACATCCAAAACAATACCGTGTGCTGGGCTGAAATGTGATCAATGTATGTGTACATATGGTGGTATTTTTACTAGCTCATAACTCACAAAGAGCTTATTAAATGTGTAAATGCGTCAAAACAGTGGGAGGAATTGCTCTATTGCACACAGAGATCTGCTGCAAGGAGGCAGCGGTTCCAGTGCCTGTATCTATGTATCTATGATGAAAGCTCAGGGTTGCGTTTCATTTTAAGCTAGATTCATTGCTCTGCATGTGTCTGGACTAGGGCTGGGTATCGTTAAAAATTTTTCGATATCGATACCGATACCTTGACTTCAATACCGGTTCCTGAATGATACTTTTTTCGATACCAATTTTATGAAATCAATTTTAACAAGATTACATTATCTAAAAAAAAAAACTTTGAGCTAAAGAGAGCAGACTGCTCCGTGTGCTTTCGAATCGCTCTCGCGGATGATCGATCTGCGCCGCGCCTCTAGTCGAACACACCGGCAAGTGCTGCAGGCTTATTGGCTCACTGACGCTGATGAGATTAACCCCTTAGGTATCGAAATTTGGTACCGAACGACAAGACGTTTTTCGATACTCGATGGTATTGAGGCAATTCGGTCGGTGCCTAAAAAGTATCGAACTCGATACCCAGCCCTAGTCTGGACTGCATTACATATGGGTGGGGTGCAGAATGTCTGTTTTGTTGAGTGGTGAATGGAACAGTTGGGGTTGTCAGTGGAACCATAAGCATCTCTGAATATCATTTGAATGCTGTACGACTGTGGCGAGATTGACTCCCACATATCTTTCAGCCTTGTCCTTGAAGGAAGCCAGCAGCTTTGCAGTGGTTTGTGTGTATGCTCTTCTTAAATTGCTGTTCTTTCTAGTACCGTATCAGGTATTGATGTTAAGGGGGTTGAAATTGTATTCATTCTGCGACCGTTCAGGCTCAAATGACCGCTTGTGCAGTGAAAGTGACCTGTGGGTAGAAGTTCAAATACGCTGTTTACTCTCTGCTTATGTTCTGCCGTCGAAGCCAAACGTGGTCCAGGAAAGACTGTTGTGCTTTTGTGAGGAATGCAAACGTGTGTGGGTGCGTTTGGCTGAGTTGTTCACGTAGAACCCCAAGCTTTTTTGAAAGGAATGCAGACAGGAGTGTAAGTCAGTGTGATGTTAACACTGTTAATACTCACTCTCTTTGGCCCTGGGCTCTCGTGTCACCTGACTAATGAATCCACAGCTGGATGTGTTTGAGTGTGTCTGTGTTTGCACATGTTTTTTTTCATAGTGTCTGCATGGGGTGAAGTTTAGCGAGTGAGGGAGACTAATCTTGCTTCTAATTCTGATATTAATTGATGAATTAATTCATAAAGGAATGAAAAATTGATCAACACACTCCAGATATTTATCATAAGTATTGATATCATTCAAAAACATGTTTGTTTTAGTAATATTTGACATTATTTATTAATAATATTTTAAATGAGTTCCTAGATTAGGGATGTGTGAGTTGATTCTGCTGCTGCTTGTCAAAATTTGAAAATAAAAGTCATTTACATTTTTTCCACGTTTATGTTTTGCCTAATATTTTTATGACATGTTTACACTAGCACTGCAGTGTATAGAGAGTACGTTCAAATTACTGCCATGTTAACGTTACAGTTTAAAAATAATGTTATGTTCCGTGATTAGTAGTAAATCTCCATCACCTGCTTTCAGATGGAGCGGCATTTACTACACAGAGCCGTAGTTCACTGACAAGCTATGCAAAATCGTGTTCATAATCGCAGGCGATTCGATCTGCGATTATTAACACGATTTTGCGTAGCTTGTCAGTGAACTACGGCTCTGTGTAGTAAATGCCGCTCCATCTGAAAGCAGGTGATGGAGATTTACTACTAATCACGGAACTGGCTTTACTGACGAGATGCGCATGACAATCGCATGCGATTAATTGCACAGCCCTAATCTAGATATAGATATAAACAGCTACATTTCCACTGAAAGTTGTCTTAGTGTTCAAACTAACACTTTTAGTCTATCAGGGAATAAAATAAGCAAAATCCCATAGACTTACATTGAGGGACCTGAGCCATCAAAAATGTTATAGATGCCCTGGCAACCTCATAAAAATGCTCTGTGATTGGTGGTGCAGAGTAATGCACAGGCAAGCACCACTCACATTGTCTTCAGAATAGTGATGCACCGAAATTAATTCTTTACCAAAACCGCAATTTTCATTTTC